CTGCTTATTTTTGCCTGCTAATCTTCACTGTTTTGCCTGTTAAACGTGTTTCGTCTTCTTTCATCATTTAAATTGACCGTGTTATTTATATATTAAAAGTTTATCTTATTTTTTTTTCTTTGTTAAGATGTCGAAGATGGTCAATTTATGTCTGGGGTTGATGGACCTTTGGTAGTTTCAGATCTTTTCAACCCATCCTCGTTTTTCAAGTTCAGCCATAATAGTTGACAATGTTATTTATATATTAGATGCACTAAAGGCGATGGATGTCGAGAGTCGGGTGCCTGTCAGACATTGGGGGAATAAACAAAATTACAATTGTTTGGCTACACAGGGGGCAACAAGAAAGCGGAAAATTGGCCAAGAAAGGTACGATGAGGACATCTATCGGCCCTGAATCCTTTTGCGGCATATCAAATCGTCAAATATGAAAATCCGTCAGATAATAGGTTAAAAGTAAGTCCTTGCTTCGATCGTATTGTACTGCATGACAGAGGGGCATGGGAAAAAGTTCATCGTAGAAACTAACGGCAGAATTATTTACTAAACAGAATAAAGAAAGGACTGCTAATTAGGCACCGCACACTCCGAAGGCATATGAATAAACTCGGAGGAGTAGAAATCAACCTATGCAGATGTAAGCTAGAAGAAGATTCGAGAAATGATAAAAAGTCTTAACGTTAACGAAGAAATCTAGATACTAATTGAGATTACTCAACAGACCTATATTGGTCGCTGGGCGTAAAGGCCAACTCCGTTTAACTTGAAGAAAATAATAAACAAGTCCGACATGCCAAAATGATCGGAAACGACCAAATTACAAATAAGAAAGTGCCTTGTTGAAATCACACTCGCTTTCCATTCGCAGAAAATGATACAGATAAATAAAACTCACATGGAAGAGAATCGTTCCGAAAGGTCTTTTTCAATGAACTCACAATGAATTAATAGTAAACCATCGTTTAAGTCCAAAACATTTTTGATTTTAAAGAATCCACGATGAACATCCTGCCAACTTGTAACTCGAGCTAGGCGGACTTGGTAAAATCCCCTTTCACGTTTACAGACTTATTTGACGGCTGGGGATTTATTAACAGGCCCGGACGAAACATAATTGCCTGTAAAGATATGCAGAGAAAGCACCGACTTTATTCATGGGAAACTATCGATTTTACATGGCCACAAACACAATCAGCAATAATAAATGAATATGTATAAATAGAAGCATCAACATGAAAAAATGAAGCTAGTAAATTATTAGCCTAAACTAGTAAATTATTTTTTAAAAACACACGCAGAAGACATAGAAAAATTGAAAGCCCAACAAGAAAAAATCAACTTTCACAATAGACACAAGAAAATATAAGGATTTACCCACCCCCGCCTGGAAAACAGTTGCAAAAACGAACAACTATCAATTTGGCCACACCCATTTATTAAAGCAGCCAACTAAACCACTCCCATCCAGTGAATTAAACCAACTTTGTCGACTTTTAAACATTCATTTGAAGAAGATCAACAGAAAACACGATATCAGTAATACTGAAACTTTAGTGATTTAAACAGTTAAAAACGAAAGTGAGTTTGAGGCCCTGAAATTTTTTATGGTCACAAGTAATGGAACTTTTTTTTATTAACTAATGTAAGATGTTCAAATGTTACAATCTACATTGAACCTAAAATTAGAGCGTTCTAGCCGACATTCGACGATGGACGTGCGACAACTATAGTTGAAATATTTCTCCACCTACTGCAATAATTTTCTAACTTATCACTAATTTTAAGTTCAACTATGAGGAAGGTTACACCGAGAAAGAGATTCTACAACCATACCTACAAATATAAGGCGGAAAGATCCTGCCAAAAAGAAATGTGTAAAGCACGTCTCACGATTTAGAGAAAAACAAAAAAGTCACTTTTTGCTTTTTAGTCCTATTCACTTCGCTCAGCTCAGGTTTTCACATGTATCATTCGCTAGGAAATTCTTTTATGTGCAAGCAATTCGATTCGCTGGATATCGGCCAACAACCCATTGATGAGTTCATCGCCCCAAAGGATGACAGGATTCAAGGAAATAAGGAAATAGAAAACAAAAGGGAAAGTGGCACAATATGAATGCAACGTATTGAGATGTAGTATAGCAAGAGTAAAGCAGGTGGTACTAATCTGTTTAGGCGTGTTAAAGACAAGAAGTTTTGTGACTCTCGACACTAAATAAGTGTTCACAAAAATTGAATCAAAAAGGTGTTCAAAGCAGGAAAAAATTTAATTTTATCAAACGATTTCCATATAGGCCCTTTTAAACAGATAATCCTGTTACTCTTGCTTTGTGGTCTTCATTGTCTAAATCTTCGATATTAAATAAATAAAAACAAATTTCCTAAAACCTACGAATAACCTACCTGGACAAGATACCACACTGATCACGTGAAAATCTCAAAATATCGTTCATGTATATTCGTACTTAATATGCACGACATATTTACACACGGTTTCATGAATAGCCTAAATATATCACAGATAAAGACAATTAAGAAAAATGTAGACCATTAAACTTTAGAGACATAAATTACAATGCCTGGCCTGATTGTAAATGAATACACAAGTTCTAAATTTAGTTTCGAAGGGACAGAAGTAGATCGATCACGTTTCGGCTTCTTACCATCTTCAGCGTTCAGTACTCTATATGTTAGTGTCGAATCGAAAATTTCAGTGAACTGTAACCGGGTAATTAAGTCGTGGTCCGGAGTTGGTGTGGATGTTGTTGGCTCGGACGCTTTGAACTTTGGATGGACCTGGAGCGGGCGGAGAGGAAGCCAAATCAGCACGGTCAGGATTCCACGAATCGTCCTACGAGCGTGTTCGAAGATTTTTCATCTACCGGACTATCGTTTCCTTTCTCGTCACCGGATACCGTCTCGTGTCTGTCTCAGAGAAGATAAAGAGTGAGTGCTCACTTCAGACATTTTATTGCATGTTAAAGGCCTAAATGTTATGTTTGTAGTTTAAGTTCAGTTAGGATAAGTACCTTAATTTCTTTTCGTTATGTGTAAATATATTTAGTTAACCATCACACTTTTATTTCTTTGTGTTTTCTTTAATTTCTTTACTTAACAAATAGTCAGGTCCATTGCGAATCCACCCGTCTCACGCGGAGCTATCTCCTGGCCGCCAACATTTGTTCCCACCCCCCTTGATAGTTAAAAGACTATCTGGCGCCCGTACAAAATTTTCTTTTGGTCTGGACAAACCAGACCTGGGGTTACAGAACAAAGTGAATTTTAAAGATAGTTCATTTAAGAAATCATCGCTGTTTTCGTCTGCCTGGTATTTCAGCTCACTTGAAAAAGTGAGCTGAAATACCAGGCAGACGAAAACAGCGATGATAGTGAGACCAAAATATCAACATGATCGGTAAAGAACAAATTACAGAATTTTTATTTTTCTCTTCTTTCTTCTTGGTTGTTCACTTGTTTTAAGATCTTTTTAGGCGTGTTTTCAGGGACTTACAACCATTTCAAAATATCCTTTTGCCCCCGAAATATATATGGACATAATGCAAGGATATTTTGAAATAGTTGTAAGTTCCTGAAAAAAACACCTAAAAAGATCTTAAAATTACAGATTCGTCACCCCGCAGGCAATAGGAAGAAATATAATTTTTATTAATTATTTGTGTGTGATATAATGCTTTTATTTATTTATTATCTTACCTTTGTTTAACAAAAAATATCTTTTGTAAACAACAAAAATAAAAAATTCCCGAGGTTAAAAATAAAGATGGTTAATATACCCGAGTGTATTGGGTAGCATTTATAAAAATTTTAGGTCCGATATCCATCAGGATTGACAGAGTTGTCGGAGCCAGAGTAATAAATGTCCTTGGGGCCCAAGGGCAGGGAGATAGATGCCCCAACAGCCCTTTTTGGTGAATGATAACCCAGTAGAATTTAAACTATGTAACTTTATTTTTATTGCTGGAAAGGCGACCTGTTTCATGTTGATTTCAATCATTTTTAATTAAATTAAATTCATTAATCAAGATTGTCATTACAAAAGTGATAAGTGTTTCGAAACAGAATTACAATACACATGAAACATGTCATAGGTAAAACAAGGACTAGAGAGCAATTATTAGGTCTATTAAAATTATTTTGAAATGTGTAATATTTAGTGACCGTTAATTAATGATTATTTGGAGATCGTGAGATGCGTCTTGTGTGATGTAGGTATAGAAAAACATTCTCTTTATTGTGTCAACGTTTCGATCTTTATTTAGATCATCTTCAGGGCCTGGGATTTGCGTGAGTACAAATACTTTGAATAAACCTAAAATTTCTATATTGCGTACATCATTGTATAATTCATTTTTACATCTTACGTGTATTTGTATAACAACCCACCTGTTTGTAAATCCCAGGCCCTGAAGATGGTGGAAATAAAGATCGAAACGAAAAAGAAAATGTTTTTCTAAACCTACATCACACAAGACCCATCTCACGATCTTCAAATAATCACTAACTGCAATGAATAAAGGAGTTTGAAATAAAACGAAAATAAGTGAAATATGGAAATATAAATAAAAATTAAGAAAAAATATTGAAATCGATGTATAAATAACCAGACAAAAGCTCGGTGAGCTATATCATTGGTTTGTAAATTAAGTTCCTAGCGTTTTTCAATAGATTTTATCCCTTTTGGGTTCTGAAACAATTTTTGTCATTACATTCTCTGAAAAGCGATTAATTAAGGTGTTTTATTCGTCAGTTTCATATTTTTACTAGGTGTTTTGCTAATTAAAATAGATGAAAAAATAAAACAAGCTCAGAATACTAGGAAAATCTGTCCTTGCTACTCAGACAAAAAAGGGGAAATTTTGGAATAGATGTGTCTTCTAAGCTGCCGTCATGTGTCGACAGGAGATCATCATCACTAGGTGACCGTGTCAAGGATGGTAGTGTTGATGTTAATAACGCCTTTTCTTTTTGGATTTCTTCAATCTAGCCCATTAATAAGGCTTCTTCGTCATCGGGCTTTGAAATAACTAACTCCTCAGGTGTAAATATCTTTGAACTACGAATAGATGACAAACGGTATGTCGCTGTATGGCATGCGGTGTCCACTGTGTCGATATCAGCCAGTGTTGAACGAACTCTAGGCAACCGTTCAGATATTATGACCTCAATGCAAGCTGTTTGTCTACTTATATTATGTAGCGAATCTTGCGCTGGTACTACTTTATTAGTCCTGAGACTACAGGGGGCAAAAACAATTGCCAAAGCGTTTGAACTCATTCTATTGACATCTTCACGAAGTGCCACTCTGGCAAAGTGAAATATCAATCTTTCCATCAAATCAAAATTGAAAGATGGCAGCTTTTTCAAAAAGGTGAACATTGTTGACATACTGTTCACTGTTAGATTTGCAGCTCTTAAAATATATTCGTAACAGTCAAAAGTAAGTAGAGGTTCTGGCATTTCTCTTAAAAAGCTCTTCAAAACACTTGCCAAAACATGTACCTGGTATTGTTCAAACTGGACCTTTTCAATTTCCCTCTCTTCCATTATAGTTTTCAATTAAGCTTACTCCTGAATTTCTATATATGCCTTCTGTATAAAGACCATACATTTCAATGGTTGTGATAAGTCGATCGACAACGACTGGTATTTTTTCTTCTCCAGGTGTCAATTGATAAAGAGGAACTCCGAAGACTGGATTAGGGCACTGTTTAGGTACAGTCACTTCTTTACTACACATCACTATGACTTTTATGTAACACTTTTTGTGACAAGTGAGTTTGCAATTATGGCATACTAAGCCTCTTTCTAAAGGCCATATGAAAAAAGAATTGCAAATTTCACAGGCAGTCGAGATGTTAGTGATTGTTAGCACAAAATTATGCCCAGCGTGTTTGATAGGATCTTCTGTCTTTCGCTTTTTTCCTTTTTTCCTTTTCAACTTCCTTGGTTTCTCTTGATCCATTCTTGTTTTCGCCATGAATTCATTCATAAATCCTCTGAAAGCGTGGATTTCCAGGGTCACAGGGAAATCCTCTGCTCTCATGTCCTCCTGTTGCCTTACAGCATCCATTACATGTCAGAAGTTAGCAATCAAGTCTTTATATTTTATATTCAATGCTACTGGTCCTTGCTTATTGACTACGCTATATGTTGCTATAAGATTATCCTTGAATTCTTTTAAAGCTTGTTTAAACACCATATCTGCTTTGGAAGGTGTCTTTCTCCCTCTGTTGATTCTATTTTATAGATCTTTTTTGTAATGAAATTTTGCATTTGTTCCTTTATACCAGAAATAATTTTTTCAGTGCTGTCAGTGAACTCTGATGTTCCTTGCAGGCTGAATTTGGCTTGGGATTGTTGTAGGCGACCTGATTTTTTTTCAGACTGTTGTACTCTCTATGATTTCCGTGATTGTTTTCCTTTCCTTGCACTGCCCGAATACTAATGACAAGGAAGCCTGAGTACACCTACCAAAACGCTTTGGATAGACGATATAAACTTCTTTCTTGACTTTTACACAAATTATCCCTTAACAGTAAAAGACGAATCACCGGCATGGACTTACTGTATGGAAATACGTGGCTCAACCAAAGTATCCACCTATCGAATCCAATCCTTCCAGTATTGCAATTACTTATATTATTATTACTACCCTCCGTATTACAAATGCACCTTTCTATGTGTCCAATCGTACCCTTCAACATGATATCAACATCCCTTATGTTTCACACAGTATCAAATCAAGGTACAACAAATTCCACTCCTCCCTCACATGTCATCCCAATAACCCAACTTTCCTCTACCACACTTTCATATACTCCACACCGCAGACTGAAATGCCGAAGGCCTCGTGATATTAACTCAAGTGTTAGCGAGTGGCAAGAGTTTACATAGGTTTATCTATGTCCGAGTGTCACTACTGAGTTACTCGGCTCATCACAATACAAGTCAATTTTTTTTTTCAACATGATATTTGCTTGCTATAGTTAATTCTACAATTCACTAATTTCGTGGACCGCATGACCAATTAATATATTACAATTAATTAAGGTTTTTTTAGTTGAGATAAAAAAGTCCATGGCACGAGCGGGATTCGAACCCACGATCTTCGGCTAGATACGCCGCTGCTCTAACACTTGAGCTATCGTGACCTCGATCCACTCGGACACTAACTTCCCATCTCAACCCCACCTTTTGAATTTTCCCTCCTTTTTGCCATTTTTCAATTAGAATTCAATTAATTCTACAGTTGGAAATTTCAAATAAAACGAAAGAAAAGGAAGACGTAAAGCGCTCCCCGGTTGTCTTTTAACCGTTGATGATGACCTTTTGTCACAAATAACCTCTCAACAACACGCAACATTGCAGAGTTACTTAACATAGCTCATATAATAAGCCTTTGAAAGCATCTGATAGCAGCTGGATATGTTTGTTGGAACATAGATTCCTCCCACGTTAACTAAGAATCTCAATCATCTGCTACTTCCTTATATATCGCAATGTAAACCCATTTTTAAAAAGATTAATGACGGGATGAAAATCTGCTCCTTTACATCAATATTAAGAGAAGAAAATCCGGTGAAATACGCAGCGAACCTCTGTTAAAAACTCCAAAAGCCGGATTCTGAAGAAGGTGATGTATATTTGATGGGATTTGAAGGGGGTGCTTTATTACGAGCTTTATCCACCCAGCAAAACCGTTAATTCTAGTATATACTGCCCACAATTGGAGGAATTAAAGTCAATAATTTACAACAAAAAAAGTGTCTGGATACGCTCCAGAAATTGTTGGAGTTTGGCTGGGACTTGCTACCCCGTCCGCCTTTTTCATCTGACATAGCCCTTTATGATTTTTACTTATTCCGGGCTCTGCAAATCTCTATTAATGGGAAAACTTTACTTCACTCGGGGACCGGAGAAAATACACCGAGTTCATCGTTCAAAAACTTGAGAAATTCTGTGAGGATGGAAAACACGGAAAATGGCAACAGGTAGCGTAATGAAATGGTTCATATTAATTTTCATAGAATTTACCACCAAAAAACACCATGGACTTATTTTTCGACCCGGGCTCGTAACTACATTTCATCCCATCGGGCGAACATAATCATAAGCCAAAAAACTTGTTTTTTTATAATTGAAAAAAAAAAAAAATTATAAAAGCAATAAATTATCTAACTGAAAATGAGAAATGCGATGTATTTCATATTGTTTATGAGATGTATGTAATCAACCATGACAAGTAATGTTACGGCATTCTATCCTCAACCTTGAACACAAATTTTCTATCAATTAAATTTGAATAAATAAGGTTAATAAGGTTTAAGAATTCAATTACTATTGGCTTGAATTTTTATTATGCCCCAGGCCCAGGAGGTAGAAAATAGTACTCAATGAAACAGTAAAAGTGATGATTTTATTTTATTCCCTGGTACAATACTAAGTAAATCAAATAGCTAAACTCTGTCTGATAGTAAACTCAAGAAAAAATATCCAGCCACTACTGGTAAAATCGAAGTCAGTGCTTCATGGTCGCAGTCAATAAAAATATTACTAGTCCAGCCGTTGTGTATGGAGAAAAAGTGTGTAGCTAGCGTGAACCGAACCGCAGGTAGGGGCGAGCAAGAAGGCAAGGTCAACTCCTATTTATGCCCCATTGTGTCCCAACAGCCACTTCTACCTCAAATGCTAGATTACGGCCGCTTTTCGCATTTCGTCTTCTACTTCTTCTTTTTTCCCCCGGCAAGTATACCCGTTAAAAGCCAGTGGGATTTAAATTTGACTCCGACAAAAGGCGAATCCCGTATAAATGAGATGTTAGGATTTTTCTCTTTTAATCCACTCGTACAAAAAGAAAGTATATTAACCTTGAAATTTGATTTACAAGACGATCAAACACATCGTAAAATAAATTGGCAGTGATAAGATTCCGTTTGTAAGTAACTAATTGTAAAAGGGCATAAATGACTAGTAGAACAATTTAAATACACTGTATACAACGTGTGGTGAATAGTGACCGTTAATCGATAATTATTCAGAAATCGTGAGATGCGGTCTGGTATGATGTAGGTTTCAGAAAAACATTTTCTTTATCGTGCCAACGTTTCGACCTTTATTGAGATCATCTTCAGAGCATGGGATTTACAAACATTGTTTACATTTAGGATGTGGAAAAGTGAATTTATTCAATGCAAAATATATTTTTTATATTCAATCAAAGTATTTCTACTCACTCAAAGGTTTGCAACATCAGAAGTAATATCAACTCTCAGAGTGTCTGTGTTTAAAAACAAATAAAATAAAATAAAACTTTATAGTAGTTAACATTAATAAAAATATTAAAATATTATAAAAATATTAACATTAATAAATAATTAAAAATTAATATGCAAAAATGAAAACTATGTCGGGTTCGAATGCAGGGCCGCTGGATATAAATATTGATATACATACTTAAACTGTTACGGCCACCGACGCCCTCATTCTTAATAACTTTTTTGTTAATTTTTAATATAATAATAATAAAATTTCATTAAAATTTACACTTATTACAATTTATAATTTTTTAAGCAATTCTTAGCCGTCTGCTGAGTTTGTTGCAACTTAAACAAAAAGTAAAAACTATATAAAAGCGCAAAACTAAAAAGAAAATTGGTCTTAATTAGAGGATATTACCAGATTGATTTAATTTTTTTTAAATTTATTATACATGAACAGCAAAGCAGGGATTATTTAAAACAAAGTCAATGCAAGGATGTTACATATCTTATATCCTTACATATCTGATAACTACTCAAATCTCACTCTCCAGGAGATTAATTAAGGGGCAAACATCAGTCTCTGCCCAGTTAGAAACGAGAGACTATCTTCCCTCAGTTTTTCTTGCCAAAATAAGAAGCTCTTACTTCACTGAGTTGTAGGCATACACCCAAGAAATAGTGTGTTTAGTTAAAAAAAAAAAAAAAACATCTTTCTAGATTTAAAATATTTTTACCACCAAATTAAGTCTAAATTATATAAAAAATAATTGAATTACACAGCAAGCATATTTCAACAATTGAGTCCTTTTTTTAGTAATAGTTCATTCAGGTGGATTAATTCACCCCGGTGTTTAAGAAACCATTTTAACTCAACTAGAACCAGGTTCTCTTTTACCACTGGCTTGTGATGAACTAATTATAAATTATAATCATAATGTCTTATACAATGTGAACTGATCAGAAGTAAATTGTTTCGGCACGCTGCATACCTTCTTCATCATAAATGGTACCTATTTTAGATAGAAGCAGTAATAATTGAGCGAGCACCTCAAAAAGACATTTGTTCTGAAGTACTTAAGAAATTGTAACAATGGTTTTGGGACAGTAGTTCTCTAGTACTCAAAGAGCAGTTATTTTAAGGGAAACGGAAATCTGGAAGAGATAGACTTTTTTACGAGGGTATTTCACCTATGAGTGTTAATCCTTGGGGTGCCAGTGTTTTTGTAAAAAAGTAATTTGTCAGTATGGTATGGTATGGTAGAAAAGGATACTAGGAAGGGGAGTTTGTACTGTACCCAGACACTGCAGCCTTCTGGCTTATCGTACCTTCCTAGTTCCTTAGTTCAGTCAATAGACTCAATCCTTATTCTTAGAAGAATCAGGTCATTGACTGTTGCTGCTGCAATTTGATTCCCTAAGCCTTTTCCGTACGTTAGCTTAAACCTCGATTGAGCTGTTGCTTCGCATTCGAAGATGATATGAGTGGCTGTTTCCTCCTCCTCATTACATAATCTGCAAATGGGATCATCGTTGTATATACGTATGTTGTGTAGATGTTTTCTCAGATGCCAGTGACCGGTTAGTAGTCCTACCACTCCTCTGAGTTGGCCCTCTCCAATTGCAGCAGTGTTTTTGCCAGTCGCGGTGAGGGTTGTTTCATCATAGGTTTACTATATCTAGCACCGCTAGAGTTTATCCACTTCTCCTTTTGTATTGCTTCGATCCATTCTGCGATGGAGGATTCTATATTTGTTCTTGTTTTCCCAAGAATAGGTATGGGGCCTATGTATGGTCTTGTAGTTCCTCCTCTGGCCAGTCTGTCTGCTTTCTCGTTACCCAAAATTACCCTGTGCCCTGGCATCCAAGATATCATCAGGTTGTTGTGTTTCCCCAGGTTTTGGAGATTTTGGATGCATTCACTGACTCGTTTTGATGTGATTCTTTTACATGCTAATGCTTTAATAGCTGCTTGACTGTCTGATCTTATGAGGATTTTTTATAATAGTGATAACAGTGAGCCTGATGTCTGTAAATGGATGATCGAACTTAATAAGTGGTTCATTCAGATGTTTGTAAAAGAAAGATAGTCCCAATTTGTTTTGCACTTTTATCTTGTTCCTAAATGGCATGATTTTATACTCGCTTTCTTTATCGTTTGACCGGGTGTAATGAAAATTGAGCCAGTCAGTCATTCCATGCTTATACCCTGATTTAGGGTCAATTATGAAATTTGCCGGTCAATGGCACCAGACACAAAGGCTTGCACGTTGAATTCAACGATGATGTTCACATGGTTCGAATCTGACATTGGCGAAATTCGTAGAAAAAGAATAGCACCTCGCCTCTCCATGCTTATAACACTGACCATTTATGGTTTTATACGGTCAATGGAACCAATGTTGGAAAATGTGATATAAAAATTATTTTTGTCAAATGTTTGTCATGGTTGGAAGAGAAGATCGTTTACACTTTTATGTTGTTCCAAGATGGCAAGATTTCATACACAACAATTTTATCGGCGAACTAAATAGTTTGGACTTGCGAGAATAAATGCATATCCTACTTAAAGAGAAAAAAAAAGAACCCAAACGGCAAATAATTAGCCCTTCGTGGCCTAAAATTTGTCGACATCATTTGTCATTAAAGTTGGGTAAACATTGGTTAGAAGAAATATGACTATCAGAAACATAAATACCCAGAAATATCAAGAACTCTGGAGTAGCGTGATTGAAGTCTGATGTGCGAATATAATTTATTAGCGCGAATGGAGGGGCTGACACCTAATTACCTCGAGGAATATTGAATACTCTAGGATAGTGTGAACGAAGTCTGGTGTATAAATGTAATTTATTAGTGCGACTGGAGGGATTATCCTAAATTACCATGAGGATTATAGATTACTCTGGGGTAGTGAGAATGATAATCAGACTGGTTTCTGTTTCATGTATACATATACTTGTTATTTGTGTTATTTTATCCAAAATTGGCGAATTACAGAGAAGCTAGCGACAGGATACAGGAAAGACAGTAGGTCTGAACATAACTTGAGAGCAGAAAGAAAAGAAATTAGTTGGATTAATACGCAAGAAAGACAAGAAAAGAAAACCAAATAAGAGGGCTGTCAATGACAAATGTAGTTTACCTAAAACATTTTTAAAATCTGTTTTTGTTTCTCTTCAACTGATTGACAGAATTTGACAAAATTGGGCAAAATTACTGAAACAGTTCGGCTTCAAAGTAAAATCGAAAATTTCACAAATTTATTTGACCTCTGGGCCTGAATATCTTTTGATTTTATGACGACCCGTTGATGCAATGATCACCTTAGCCTATAATAGCTTTATGATTCGAAAGACCCTCATCGTTCAACATTTCGATAACAGGGACAAGAGGGCTCCGGCATGCTAATCCCGGAAGAGCGTCACTAATCTTATCAGTGAAGATACGTCCTTTAAAAGGGAGAAAAAGAAAGAAAATAAATAACTGAGATCCGTTCACACCTCAATACACATCGAATCGGGCTTTAACTCGATGTAGACGATCAATAGGGTTTTCGAGTAGAACGGACTGATTGATCGATAACAAACACCGACGAAAACCGGCCTGCTGTCCGATTCTCATGGTTTATCAATTTATTATCAAACTCCTTGGATAAACACTGCACTTAATTTGAGTGGACGTAAAGTTTGTTTTCGTCTCTCGGTCAATATAAAGCGCGAATAATCCCACGGAATAATAAAGTGAAGAAAATATTTTAATATTAGTTGGGTAAACTGTTCTTTAATGTCAAAGATAAATGTAATTATTTTTTATTTATTTTATTATTACATGAATATTTTCATTTACTTCATTATTTCCATCTACGAATCAACAAGTCGATTTTGAAGTATTATTATTTTTTGAATAAAGTGGGTTATTTTTATTATTTGGAGATCGTGAGATGCAGTCTGGTGTGACGTAGGTTTTAGAAAAACATTTTCTTTTTCGTGCCAACGACGTTTCGGACTTTATTGAGATCATCTTCAGGGCTCAAAGTGTTTGTTTTCCCTGTAGATGTGTCATTATTACGTGTCGTGTTGAGAGTGCCAGTGAGATATTCTAAATATCAAGCCGATATCATTAATCTGTCCAAGGTTTTAATACTTTTTAATTCTATTTTATAGTTAGCGGGAGTTAATGGGAGTTTTAACATAAGGTCTATGAGCCAAATGAAACCAGCAGCTTTTTGGGTCCGTGGGTGAGAAGAATCCGCTGGTATCATAGTGTCTGTAGTTGTGTTTTTAAAAAGAATAATTTAATTAAAACGTGTTTTGATTAAAACTTTTTCCCACTGTTAAGGAAAATAACAGATCACAGAACGGAATTGGTTTCATGACCATTCATAGATGGATGAAAAAAAGATTTTTTTTCTTGAAATAAAGTTTTTTTATATATGTTATATTATTGTTGTTATATTATTATTGTTATGTCATTATATGTTATATATATATANATATATATATATATATATGGGATGATGACGTGAGAGTGCGATTGGGGGGGACGTGTTGTGATGGATGAGAAAGACTGGAAGGAAGGTTATAGACAGTAGAAAAAAGAAGAAGAGCTGAAAGACGGAAAAGACGTGTAAAGTTTAAGTTGTTTAAAATTAGAGAATCTTGGAGATACTAAATTGTGGTACATTTGTTTATGTTTTAATAAAAGCAAAGTTTAAACTTAACGTCCTTTGCACAGTCCCCAAACACAAACACACACTCACACACGCACACGCACATACACACACACGTTTTCTTATATTTCAACCTCAACAGTTTAACTTATGATTTACGACTTATGATATGTGACGACCTATTATCCCACCTTCAAGAAGGAAAAATCATGTATATGTGTATATATATTTTTTTAAATTATTTTTTAAAATTGTAATTATTTATTTTTTTATATTAATATTAATATATAATGGGCACTCTCAACACGACACGCAAGAATGGCACACTTACGCAGAAAACAAACACTTTGAGCCCTGAAGATGATCTCAATAAAGATCGAAACGTTGGAACAATAAAGAAAATGTTTTTCTAAAACCTACGTCACACCAGACCTCGCATCACACCGCATCTCACGATCTCCGAATAATCAATAACTAACGGTCACTAAACACCACACGTTATTTTTATTTGCAATACAATACGGATTTTCCAAATGGTGGAGAAGTTATCGGCAAGTGTTACGTTTTCAAAAAATTTATGGTTACTGATGTTACTTAGAATATAATCTTGGCAAACTTCTCAAGTTTCAATAGCTGGACGTGGCGCTAATTTTAGATATTCAGGAGCCGTTCAAAATGTTAATTGTTTAATTTTGGAGACCTGTTTCTTTTTAAATGACCTCAAGCCGATTCAGTTATGAATTGGAAATTCTGTATAATTAAATCAGATTTAATTGAGTAACCCTTCCCCCCTTGCGAAAGGTTCTTAGAAATTAACCTCACTTTAAACGGGCTGGCGTTTTGAGAAAGAATTTTGAAGATAAGATTATATTTTACTCATTTATTTTATTTTATTAATTATTTAATTAATTTTTTCTTTGATTCTGACAGATAATAAACTTCTTCTGCCCTGGCAGTGGGCGTCGTAGGCGAGCAGGAAGCTTTTCCGCGTCCCAAAGCGGTTCAGACCCGAGTGAAAGTCAAAGTGCTTTCACCTTCACAACACCAGATCTTGCCGGCCGGGTCGATAAATTACGATTAATCGGCAGAAAGAGAAAAAGAAATATCATGTTCAAAGATAAGAAATCCAAAACATGCGCTCCTTGTTCAAGGACGGCTATTATTGGGTATGAAACATTCCCGAGGGATCGGACGCGTTGGAAAGGGAAGAAGCTAATTTCTTTTTATTCTATCATCAACCGTTTGGCGATCGATTCTCAGCCTACTTGCCTTTCTACATATTTTAAAAGTCACGCGACTCAAATCGTTATGCCCAAGCTCCAGTTTTTCTGTCGAGCTCACCAGAGGCAATTAAAATCATCATGGTAAAACACATATGGCGAATAAAAATAAATAAAGGACCGCCTTATCCTTAGCGCGACTTCCAAGGACGGGGAATGTCTATCAATAATAAACACTTTCTTGTACAGTAGTATCTAATATTTTTAATAAAATTTCATCTTACTTAATAAAGCATTAGTTCAATTATTTGAAGATTTACTCTTGGGGTCTGTGCGGTGACAAACCTATAGATTTTGTCGATCGGTTTGGTCTGCAAGGCACGTACCACTACGATAAACCTAGCCAAGAACCAGGTTTGAACGAAGATGACAAAAAAAAAAAAATTATGCATCTCTTAACTAATTTCAACGTCGTTTATATTTATCGAACAATAATTTTAAACGCAAATCGACCAAAGATCCCAACGACACAGCAAAACTAAAAACAATTTCACCATCATTTTACCGATACCGATTATTACATTATCTACAGGTTGAAAACTACAAGAGTATGAAAATAAAAAAAATTCAAATTTAAATGTTTATCAACTGGAATTCAACAATAATGGAATAATACACTTATCTTTATGGTGTTACATACAGGGTATAATGGAAATAGAAAGAATCAACGCTTCGCCTCTCCCTGCTTATAACCCTGATATCACATTACTTAGTCCAATGGCAGCGGCAAAATACGATGAACATTGAAAACAACAAGGGAATGAAATTTACACGATGATACTTGACATTGCGAAATTCGCAAAAAAAGAATGTCAGTGTCTCGCCTCTCCCTGCTTATAACCCTGACATCGTGTTACTCATGGGCTTTTCAGCTCTAGTGCACCGTCAAATAGCATTGAACATTAAGGACGATGTGAAAATTTTGGTTTGATAAACAGTGTGTCCAATCTCTGGACAAATAGATGACCAAACTTAATCCAACCAAATGTTTGTCATGGATGGAGAGTATGAAGATTTTTTTTTTCATTCTCTAAACATATTCCTAGATAGCACGGCTTTATGCTGAAACGTTTGGGCGGTAAAATAGTAATAATAAATTCATCAAACAATACTCGAATCACGTTTTACGTAGGTGCAATTCGCCGAAATCGATTATCTTTGCTCTCCCTGTTTATATCCCTAACCTCGCGCCATCTATCGTGTCAATTACACCGGCTAAATATGAATGAACTTTGACAACTTGCGAGGATGTAAAATTCACATGATTCGAGTTCGACAGGGGCTAATTTCACTGAAAAAGAAGGTTTCAGAGTTTCGTCTCTCTCTGCTTGAACCCTGATGTTATGTTCTTTTTCACTCGATGGCACGGGAAACGCACGTTGAAAATAACTAAGATGCGAAATCCACATAATCTCGTTTGACATTTGCTAAATTCACAAAAATAGAAAGATCAACATTGGCGAAATTTGCAGAAAATGTGCTCTCCCTGCTTATAACCCTGACATCCTTACAGTCTTCAGTTCAATAACACAAAACATAGGTTGATCATCGAAAAAATGATGTGAATCATGGTCGTGTTTGTCATTGGTTAAATTAACCGAAAAAAATTATGTTAGCTCTCGACACTCCCTGGTTATACCCTAATGTTGCACTAATTATAATATCCGCCGATCAATAGCTCCCAATAAACTGCTTACTTATTAATAATTTAAAATAAGGGGAAGATTAATTTCTGTACATAATAAATGCTCAGTATTGAATTTCTCCGAAATTTTGAAACCCCATTTACTTACCGATTTAATTTTGATTATTTTGAAAAATAATTTATAATTTTATATTAATGATGGTTTAAGAACAAGGCCTGACGCTAAGAGATACTAGTCCACAGATAATACCATGCACATGATTTATGATCAACGGATCAAACTTGAGTCAACTTGTTTTGTAGCGGTGCCGCCACCGTGTCTCGCCGTTTTACACTATACGCGAAATACTTTCACTGTGACAGTGTCGTAATTAAAAAACACGACATCGAAGTGCGAAGTGTTGCTCAATAAAAGGCAGATTTAACTCAAGATCAACGGTTAAGCGCTTTTTAAAATAGGATTTTATATTCGGTTTTTGATCCGTTCTTATGATCCGAAGAATTACTCAACCGGCGTTTCAATCCTTGAATGGAAAATTGATAAAGAAATTATCGCACTAAATACAGAATAATAATTATAACGTAAAAACATAATTGTAGTTGTTGTGTTGTAATTATTTGATCGTTACCAACCATTTTGGTCTATCCCCGGTGGGTTCGGCTGTCAGACTTGTATCGACTTCTCGCCACCTTCAGAGTTACGTTATTTTTATAAGTTTGTGGTACCCTCTCAAGAAGGCAAAACAATCAAAGCACCTGACAGGACAATCCAGGCAGACTGAAATGATCGATAACGGCCAAATTTCAGGTTTATCACCCCGCAAGCAACAAAGAAATATCACAATTATCTGTCTGTCTGTACTTTGTGAGTTGTAAAATTTACCATAAATTTGTCTAGATATGTCAGTAACACCTGAACATTGTGGTCTCCCTATTCTCGCTCATTTTTATGGGCCAGAACGATTAAAAAATATAAACTAGGCGGATGTAGCACAAATATATATGAATATACTAAAGTAGTTCAATAAAAATAAATAAACAAAAAATAAGATCGTGCTCGATTAATTGAAAACGAAAAGTCATTTTAGTAATTATGAATTGAAAATAATAAAATCACTTACCTAGTAACGATTCGAAATTCAAAATCAACCCATCTAAAGGTAGGGTGGCGGTTTTAAATTCCGCCACTCCTAGTTTCCTCCTCGCTGCTCCACCATGAAACCTAAATCAAAATAGACAAGAATAAATACAAAAAAAATATACACAGGATATATAAGAGTTATATACCACAAAAAACTTATATATAGGGTGTTCGGCTACTCGTGTTACAAATTTTGCCAGTACATTCTATATTTAAAATAGAACCAAAAAGTCCTAACAGTGGTCCGAATCTCAACAGTTTCGGAGTTATTCCCCTTTTTCTGATTTTTTAAGATTTCAAGACCTTGCATCAAATAAACAATGATAACGCCAAAGCAGAAAGGTTTTGGGCAAATAAAGGAAAAGAAAAAACGTGGTTGAAGGTTGGTAAGGTGGAAAGATTTTTAAAAAAAATGAAAACCTTAAGAAAATTATGAATGAATTTATTAAACTTTTTTAATTTTGGTTCGAAACCGAAATTGTGCAATTTTTTACTTATTTACCAAGACGATTCCAACCTTGATTAAAGGATAATTGTATTATTGTATTATTATTCCCCGGAATAAAAGAGTTTTAAGATTCAAAACCTGTTTAGTTCATTCATCCAAAATTTCCTTAAGTTTTTTATTATTTATTATTATTAATCTTTCCACCTTACCAATCTGTCAAACACGGTTTTTTCCTTCCCTTCAACAATTTCTTCATCTTTGAAAAAGTAATTAAAAAGCAATTACACCACTAAAAAGGATATTAAATGGAGTATGTTTTCTGAAATTTGCTGATCTCTATGTTTGGAAATAGTGGTTTAAAATCACTTTAGTAAGTTTTTCAACTTTGAAAAAAAAAACTTTTTTTCGAAGTTTTGGCTACTAAAACGCTTATTTCACCAACGTTTAGAGTTTAGTATTGATCACATCTTATTGAAAATTTAACGTAGTTTTCAATGGTATCAACGGATTTGTCCAAAACCTTTTCGTTTTGGAGTTATCGTTGTTTATTTGAAGCAAGGTCGTGAAATCTTAAAAAATCAGAAAAAATGGAATCACTCCAAAACTGTTGAAATTCGGACCATAGATAATTAGGACTTTTTGGTTCCATTTTGAATGTAGAAGAATCTACTGGCAAAGTTTGTAACACGAGTAGCCCTATATAAAAAACAATACACTAGAGGTTAAGATTGTATCGTACTAACGAACAAATTAAAGTACATTCCTAAGCATTCTTTCGTCAGAAGATCAACATGTTTTTTATAATAATATAAATACGAGAGATATTTTATAATTTTCACAACACATAGGACACCGGAAGACGATGAGCTCACGTGATGAAAGGGTTAGCCTTGTTTTGGGTCACATGAGGAGTTACGCCTGGTTAAATATGCAAGAGCTGCTATTTTCGGTACAACTACGTATTCCCTGGTAGGAGAAGGACAAAATAATACTGGCCGACTCGAACCGCAGTAATGAGCGGTTTCCCGTATATTATTTACCCTCGTTCTTTCTGAAAATAACATTTACCATTTCCATTGATCCGTCAAGCCGGCCGTGAAAATTGATGCCATCGTTGATATTTATTCACCGGGAGCAACTGGTCTTTTTTTCTCCAGAGAAAATATCGTTACGGGCGTTTATAGTTTCAGGTCCCTGGGCAGGTTGTTGAGGGACTTAACAAATGACGGCCAATAGGAAATAACGATGAAACGTTAATCACTCCTAGACATTTTTTCAATGTTTGAATTGAAAGAAATCTCATTTTGTAAGAGGTAATAAACAAGGAGAAAAATCTTCCATCACTAGACAAAAAAAATCATATCAATCTGGAGATCATTATATTGAAATCGCCAACAGGTTTCTTGGGAGCACCTGCCGCGCGCCATGACATCAACCGCTTCCTCTTTCGTCTCAACATTCATTGCCATTATTACGCCGTGGTAAAAATATAAAATTCACAACAGTTGGCTGATCCGGTAAAGTTTTATTTATTAATACCAGAGATAGTAAACAATACTATTTTGTAGAAAGCTCCAACCTCAATGTAACAAATTCCCTCATAAGTGTCCGCAGCTTGTGTGCGCTTTAAAAAATGCTTCATTGCTAAGGACAAAGTAATTTTAGTCAAACCTTTTATGAATATAAATATATGAACCAAGAGGGTTCAACCGATCATGACTAGTATTTAATATGGTCCGTCTACTATCGATGTTGTTCTCTTAAATGTTTCAGGCTGACCAAACCACAGCGAAAACATGCGGGCCAGAGAGATCGGGACATTAACAGACCAACCGAAAAAGTTTTACTTGAGCTCAACTTTTTAACATTCAACTCATTCCCACCATTTTGTATACTATATTCATTAAAGAAACCAGAAAGAATTAAAGAAACCAATTTGATGTAATGAAACGCGTCAGGCAAAGCGAATACAGCGAGATTAGACGGGCCAGAAATATGAAGGTCGATGATGGTGTCTAATGTATCAAATCATACTAAGAATAAAATAAAAGTAACAACTAGCCTTCTTTACCTAAATGTACGATTTTTTTAAGAGTTCTGTCAGGGCTGTGATTTTTATCAAACGTTTTGTGGAAAAACGCCACGAGGGTTTTTCACTCAAAACCATGTAAAAAAATCTAATCTGTCCAATTTTGTTGGAACGCCAGGAAATTAAATTTTAGCTTATAAAATCACGTGATGGATAATTTCGGAAATACATTTATGAAGTTTGTCGTAGGGCGAGTTAATGAACACTTTTTATAGTTTGTTCGGCCGTAAACGTTTGGTCCGTCTTGTCTCACTATGTTTTCGATTCACGTTCAGTCCTTTTCGAAAGAACGCGAGTAGCCGAGAACCACAATTGCACAAGTTGAGCTTCTTTCTTCTTACAAATAATAACGTTTTTGATTTAGCTTCTTGATGTAACTTGAATTGATGTAAGAAAATATAGCGATGGGTCAGGTTGACCAAAAGCTTATTTATTAAATTTTTTCGAATTTTGTTTTTTTTAATCATTTGGATTTAATTTAGTGGTAAATATTTTAAATCAAGAATGTTGGTTATTTATTTGAACAAAACATAACATTTATTTTTTTTATGCAATATTGCAATGTAATAGTTGCTAATGCATTTCGGACCACGTCCCTGGTCCCTCTTCAGAGCTTCTATTAGCTATTATATTATAATAAATAAACACTTGTTTTTATATTTAAAAAAAAAAGTAGGAAATCTTTGTTTTTTACATACCTCGCTATATAATTGAGTTCGATATAGCTAAATAGCGAGGTGAGTACATAAAAAAAGGTTAATTCTTTTATTAATTATTTGGAAAACGTGAAATGTGGTCTGGTGTGACATAGGTTTTAGAAAAACATTTTCTTTATAGTGCCAACGTTTCGATCTTTATTGAGATCATCTTCAAGGCTCAAAGTGTTTGTTTTCCGTGTAGATGTGTCATTCTTGTCTATAGTGTTGAGAGTGTCCGAGTGTGGACAAGAATGACACATCTACTCGGAAAACAAACACTTTGAATCCTGAAGATGATCTCAATAAAGCTCGAAACGTGGCACGATAAAAAAATGTTTTTCTAAAACCTACGTCACACCAGATCGCATTTCACGATTTTCAAATAATCATTAACTGTGTCACTAAACATTACACACGTTCATTTTTTTTTACAAAAAGAAATGTTTATTCATTATAATATAATATTGTAGCTGGAGGTATCAGGGACGTGGCCCGAAAAGCATTAACAACTGAAATATATTGCATAGCAAATAAATGGTGTGTTTAGTTCAAATAAATAACCACCATTCTCGATTTAATATATTTTTTAATTATAGTATATACTTTATTGCACCAAAATTAAATTCTAGTTTTTCTAAATTTACAATAAGCAGGATGCTCATGTTACGTGTGACATGATGTGGTATTATGTCCGATGACAGAGCCACCTTTTTTACCATTATAGGAGCATGTACATATTAATTTACAAATTATATAGGAAAATAAAAACACTTGATATTTTATTACACTTTTGAATATTGGGAATAAATTAATCAAAATAGAATGATCCTCGTGTTTTTTTTCTTAACAAATTGACTGGCTTTGAAAGATAAGGGAATTTATTGATTTGTCTCTTTAAGAAATGATTAAAAATTACATAATCACCTAGTTAATATCAGCTTTTTCATTTAGTCCTAAATTGTAATCTTCAAAATCATACGAGTCGACGGGCCGAAACTTTTGAAGACCCGCAACAGCTGTTTTCTATTTAAAGTCGTCCTATTTTTATGTTATACCAATACAGGCACTTTTTGGCACCCCGGTTCATTTTTAACCGGCTAGGGGACAGCGGTATTAAGTCCGTCGTCGGGGGGGGAGCATTTCGTAACCAGGCTTTAATTTCGTTTTCAAAAAGGATAAGACATCTGCAGGAGTTATTCACGTTTAAAGCCACCTGGCCTGTTTAAAGGGTTGATGGAATTTGCTAATAACCTCTGCGTCATCACTGACAAATCCAGGGGGAGAAAATATCTACAAATTTCTTTCCCAAACAATTGTACCTATTTGGATTCAACTTTTATTTCAAAAAGCCATAAGGGTCGTTTTCCTGAAAGAATAAATTTTCATTAGTGTAAGGTGTTGTCAAAAAGAGTAAACTCGGATCACGTTATTACTATCTATGATGCTGACCGCAACTTCCGATTTTCCTCGTTTAATATTCTTCCCGATGAATAATTGAGGAAATTCTTGATTAACCCCCGCCGACCTTGGTTGATGAAATTGCTATTTTGCTACCTTTGAGGCCACCAATGTCATGAATAAATTTATTAACGATCCGAGCTGATTTTCGGAATGGTTTGATGTACGAATCAACTTGCCGTTTTATTACTGAAGGACCCACCTCCCGCCCGTGAAAGTTTTCTCGTTTATCTTATCAACTGATCAATTAATTGTGGAATTTTGATTAAATCTACTTTGTAAATACTACAGAGCCTTGACGTGGCGAAGTTGGAGTGGCGTAGTTCGACAGGCAAACAGCGAGGGTTGACGGACCGAAAACGGACAATATCGATCAAACCTATCTCAA